GAATTGACTAGGTGTGTTATTGATGTGATTTATATTATTATATTGAGCTGTTTGTATGCAGGTAATGTTGAAATTATATGTGTGAAAAGGGACTGTTGCGGCATGATTGTCCCTGATGTGCTGGTTAATGTATAAGATCATTTAGGTACGCATGTACGAACAACGTATGTGTAGATAAATATTATTTATTTTCAGAGTCATTTTAAGCTTATATTTTAAGTTGTAACCACTATACCATTGATATATACTACTGTCATTTCCAAAGTTCAATTTCAAGTGTTGCAAAACCTTCACCTGCTTGATAATGAAAATTGTATTTTCGAAACGTCGCAATCTATTAAAATGTCATTTGGAAACATGTTTTTTGATCTCCCGACGCCAGCAAGAAAATTTGTTCGACTTTTTGAAAAAACAAACAAGAAGATTATTAATAAAAAACATGCTCTGGTCATTAATCAAACTTGCATAAAAACTTCTGCCGAATTACACCAATATATAAATATATATATTATTCTAAAGTCTTTACAAAGGCTTATTTTCTGAATAGTAACAATTATTTGAATATTATAACATATGAAAATGCTACACCATGCACTCATCAGGCCAGATGCTACAAGCTCGCACCCGAAACTCGTGTATTTTAAGACGGATGAGTTAGGTGCGTGAATGCACCAATGATTGCCGTACAATTGTGCAATATATAATTCCACGGTCTTTTAGGCTGCTGTCAAACTCTTGCGTATGCTTGCAATTGTCTTCGTGTAGAATGATCACCAAAAAAATTCCTTTGAATATTGCACTTCGAATGCGCCATAAAACGTGTTGAACATGTCATGTTCTTTGCCAATAAGGTTTCCGATCCACATGCCAACGAAACTGTAATGACAAGACGATATTTTTTTGTATAATCGAGTAGTATTGAATATTGAATTAAGATGAAATGAGAGGAACTCGATCAATGGCTTTGTATTCCATTTAAGCAACGTTTTGCGCACAATAAAAGCACTCATGTGCCTGACTTGCTGCCATTTAGTGCATGTAGTAGCTTGAGTGCCCAAAGCAGTCACTGGAAGTTCGGACACAACTGAAAGAGTATTTTAGCAAGACAATCCTTAGAGTATTCTTTGTTATCGTAGTTGCAGTGGATTCAAGTTTCTATCTCAATCTTTTAATGCAATTAACCTTAATAAAAGATTACTTAAATACAGCACCATATTTTTTTATCGTTGATCGCCTGGGTGCATAGCTCCAGAACGCAACTAACATCACGAGAAAGTAACAAAGTAGGATTTGTTACGTAATTCGCTGAGGAAAGCGAAAGCAATAAATGAATTGAATCGTGACTCAATAGTTTAGGATTCATGCGCCCACATAACCTTTGCATAAAAACCAGGTGTGGTTATATCGCACCTCCAGTCAAAGGACGTTAAAACAACGTTTAATTACCGTTATTTCTACGTCAGATGCCTGGTAGGATTTAGGTTTCTTATCATGCACCTCCCGCAATAAAGCTTACATATATGCGAGCGTCCGAGTATATGGCGATCATATCCCGAGCATATATTTATATCTTCGTTTCTGCGTTCTTTTTCGATATGTCCATGCATTATTATTCATTTTTCGTTCATTTGTAAATTCATTTCTTAAATTACATAGTCTCATTCCTAGGTATTACACGATTGCAATTCATTGATCTCGAACAAATGATCATAGCCATAGTACCTAATGATAATGATGAACGACAACGTATTTCAGTATAATTCTCAACAAGTAGTAGGAAGGGAAGTCGGATACTTTTATCGGTCACTTGCTATTCAATTGCGCGAATTTTCATGGTTGAATGTGCACCAAAAAATTGATCGTAACAGTTCTAAACCACAATCCAGAGACTCCGATGTGATGAGACACGCCGTGATTTGATACATCGTATTAAAAATAGGAACATATAACATTTGCCTTAACTGAAACCTCTGGGACTTTGGAAATTGATATAATATCTCTAACGTTAACAAAGCTCAAATTTTCGAATTTTCCTTGAGCTTTTGAATTTATACGACGGAGGAGCTCATCGCATATTGATGCTGCCCGAGGTTTGAGAATAAAGTTAGGGACTTCATTGTTTGAATTAGTAGGTTTTGTTTCAACAGTTACAAAAATTTCAACGAATAATTTTGAATGTATTGAATTTCCATCGTAAGGCTGTATTGCGCAAATTAATTGGCCTGCCTGTAAACGCTTTCCGTTTTTGAGTTTGGGTTGCCGTAAGTCCGCGTTCAGGTTTCAGGATAACCACAGTTCCGACAATAAATTTCCTTTTTATTGAATGAAAAGATTGTATCTGTAAGAACAAACATAAATATATTAACCATATAAACTTCAATGTATGCTTATAATATTAAAATATAACAAATAATCATCAAAACTATAAACAACTTATATGAAGGCATAAATCAACGCACCGAAATATTGTGGGCAGTTTTGGCGCGGGCTACGAACAACGGAGTTAGCATGAAACTATTTGATACGTCGTTGACTAGCTTTTAAACTCTAAAGGTCTGATGAACAAGTAAACAATATGAGCCCATAAGAAATAGACCATTAAAAACTATGTTTACAAAAGGTTTGCTAAAAATATTTACACTGCCGATATTTCTTTTGTCATTAAATTTATGTAGGACCAATTTCCCTTAAATGTGCATGTAGAAAATTTGGGTGAAATCAAACGCTTCATTCTTTACTATTATCTTTCAACAACATCATTATAATTAAATCTTGTAAATACCTCGATGAGGCCTCCCAAACAATAAAAGAAATACGAGAAGGAATAGATAACATAACATAACATTACATAGTGATGTTGGCGCTATAAAAAGTAGTCCTGATGTGGCCTGTCGCCGAATCTTGAACTTTTCGTGACTTTTTCATAGAATATCTAAGATCTTATCATTTGACCGGATATTTTCAAGACTGACGATAGCTAGAAAGAGCTACTAGACTTCCACCGGGTTCGATATGGTGCAAGGCATGAATATGATGCATGAATAATTTTGTGGATTAAAGAAGAGTCGTCTGAGAGTGGAAAGAATAATTATTTATTCGTCGGCGAGGCAGAAGCGCGTACCTGCTGAGTATGTTTCATATATGGGGGGGGGGCATCGTGTGTAGGGTAGGCCTCCTCGAGAGAGAGAGGGGGGGGAGTCACAAATATTTCCACGGGCTTTTCTCACCCAACATGAAGACAGGCAGATAGATTGGTTTATAGATAGTCACTTTTCATACGTACACCAATAAGCATACAAATCTGCATGTACTTCGCAATAAAATACTTTATTTACCACATTATACTTATATGTTGATTTATCCTCTCAATATCTTCTTCTTCTATCCTCTGCCATACACTATTTCGAATTTTCAATTTTGATTTCTTTTAACATTATACATTTGATCATAGTTATGAAATTTCCCGATAAACTTTCAGTATTTACTTCTCTTGAACAACTTTGTAGCATCAGCTATTATGTAAACACAGTGGACTATTGCATTCAAAAGCTCGCTTACAAATTTTAAATAAAGCTTTTCATATCCACACGTTTTGTTTTTGGAGAATATATTTTATTTTTGCAGTGTGACATATTACGTATCGAAAAACTAGAATGATTACAGAAGAAATATGAAAAAATACAATATAATAAAGCAAGAAATTTAAATTCAATAGAAGTTTAATCAGAGTGGACTACAAAATGTGGAACACGACGTCTTCCTCGTGTCTCCGGGTTACAACAGGCGATGTAATGCACTTGAAATATACTATATACTCGATATATACATTATACATAAATAACATTAATTATATATACCGAGAGTAATTATTTCTCGTATGTTGAGATCGTTTGATATTCAAATTTAAATAGCTGTCATTATTGACTTCATGCGTTTGTTAATATTCGCTGTCGATACCATCCCATGTTTTACAAAATATAATTAAAATCTTTGAATTTAGATGGACTGGAAATTTCATTTTTATTATATTGAGCTGTTCATGCCGCTTTATTTCTAAATATTGGCGAACATTATTTCAAAGCCATTGCTATTCCTGAGGAATTTTTATTATTATAAAGTGAACAATGTTTGATATTTGTAAACATTAAATTTCCAAGCATTTTTTCTGACAGTTGATTGATGCTTTAAATAAAGTTTTCTTCAAGTGGAATCAAAGCGTAAACAAATGAATTTTAAAATATTAAATTGGTATTGAGTACTCATATTTGGATATTTTTATGTATACATACATTCATTGTTTCATACATTTTTTTTCTCTGTATAATACATTCCACACTTATTTCAGTGGTTCCCCATTTCGATAAAGATGGGCAACAACTACGGGGGAATCGCCGTGGATGTTCTGAAGTTGGTGGCAAAGCTCAACCATTACTGGTAAAACTGTATTATTTTTCAATATTATGGTTTGGATAATTATTTCATAAACTAATTTTACCCGTTTGATCAGTAAAAAAAGCATTTCTTTTGGATTCATTGTGAAACAATCTTCACCTTCAAACAGCTAGCTGGATTAATAACAGGACTGTAGAAACTTTTAAGCGCATTTTCTCATTTATGAAAAAAATGCGCTATTGTGCTCGCCATGTCCGTCCGTCCGTCCGTCTGTCTGTCAGTCCGTGACTTTACGTTTTCGTCGACGAGAAAATGCGCTCTCTGTCACTCACTGCAGTGAGTACTGAGTTATATTTTTAAATTTCTTGATAGCTCGATTGTAAATAGTTTTCAAATTGATCTATTTGCACAGTATTACATTCATGGAACCTCGAGACAATATGTGGGGCCTGCGGCTGCCCAATGGCACCTGGAACGGCATGATTGGTCAGGTCAACAACTCTGTGAGTTCTTCCGTCGTGTTTCTTTAACCTAAAAATTTCCGACCAGAAAAGAGTCTTACCATAGAAAACTGTTTTTACCATAGATTAAATTTTAGGATTATAAGTTGTGGGAATAATAGTATGAATGTTTGAATGTTGTCTGTGATCATGTAATTTTATCAAAACAGAGTTCCCTTAAATGTAACTCATATTCTGACATACAGCAATATAGTATCAATTATTCGTACAGTGATAATTTTAGAATATATGTAGATTGCAGTAATATGTTTCCTTTGACTGTAGAGCAACATCATATTTATATCACAGTAACTGAATATATAGCTTTATCATAATATCTAAAATTATTATTAAATGAAAATAGAGAAATTGTTTTTCTGCATTTATGCACTGAGAATAATTAATGGGTTATATTGTCCAAAAGGCAAAAAGTGAAACAGTTTCTGCACGTAGCACTTATACGGCTTTTTGCAAAAAATTACAGTTACGATACAAACTTTCCTGGCGGTTTGTTTGGGTAACTCTGAATTTCCAGGAGATGAAGAGTGCCCTAATATTTTAATACGACCCATGTATAAAGATGGGTTGATGCTGTTAATAAACTTCAGACTCTGTTGGGCCGTAGAATTTATATGAAAGCAGTAAGTGAATATTTATTAGGGGTACAGTTAATTTAAAATTGAAGCCAGAAGTTGACCCTCATGCTTTCCATTTCGGCCAAACTCTATACCACATTCAAATAAATCATTTACCTTATATAAGGTATAAAATATTTAATACCTTATATGACAGGAGGCCGATATGAGCGGCACTCTGATCTTCACGACCGAGTCAAGGGCTGAGGTGGTGGACTTCTCAGCGCCGCTGTACTTCCAGGAGCACCGAATTTTGTACAGAACTCCGGAGCAAGAGCCGAACATCGCTGGATTCCTGCTGCCCTTCACAGGCATGGTGTGTTAGTTATGATAACTTGCATCATGCTCACATATGAGATTTTGGTTAGTTAAAATTAGATAGTTAGATAAAATTAAGTTTTACCTTAATTCGTGTAATTTGCGTGACAAACAAGACATTTGTGACAACCAAATTGATACTGGGATCTGTGTTCGCCTAATGAAGTGACCCGACACATTAAAATGTCTAAGTACTTATATTATCAGTCTGCTTATATCGCAAGTTCACAAGGAATTTAAAAGCAAAGAAAACGCCAAGAAAATTCACCATATCGATATTGAAAACGTTTCGGAGTCCAGCTCCATTATCAGTTCGACTAAACTAAAAATGAATAAAATCACTTTAAAAGTCAAAATTCAAAGACAGACATATACATAACCTATATAAACAAGACCTAACATTATATCGAAATAAACCGGACTAGTTAGGAACAACTTAGTCCTAGGGGTACGACAAGAATATAAAATCCTAGCGATTTACTATTACCAGATTATACATATGAACTAAACGCACTATTGAGACATGGTTTTCGTTTGAAGATATGTAGAGACTCCAAAATTCTCAAATCCGTGCAGCCAGAAGTGGAACCGAGTATCCCGAAATCACTCTCAGATACAGCCACGTCGCACTGTTCAGCATTGGTTCGCACAGAAGAATGAGGAGGCTTGGCGAGAGGCAAGTTAGAACGATAGCTCCTGCCACGGTGTTCAGAAACCCGGATGTAGAAGTTACGCGACGTCATTCCAACGTACGTAGATGCACAGCATGCACAACAGAACTCAAAGACCAGGTTTGATCGCATCCGAGCAGGAATAACGTCCTTATACCTGAAGAAAGAACCAATTTTGAAATTATTTACCAGTAAAACATGCAAATTTATATATGGGAAATATTTCATGAACTAAAGATGCTGTGTTTGAAGTATTTCCCAAATATAAATTTGCATGTTTTACTGGTAAATAATTTCAAAATTGGTTCTTTCTTCAGGTTTAAGGACGTTATTCCTGCTCGGATGCGATCAAACCTGGTCTATGAGTTCTGTTGTGCACGCTGTGCATCTACGTACGTTGGAATGACGTCGCTTAACTTCTACATCCGGGTTTCTGAACACCATGGCAGGAGCTATCGTTCTAACTTGCCTCTCGCCAAGTCTCCTCATTCTTCCGTGCGAACCAATGCTGAACAGTGCGACGTGGCTGTATCTGAGAGTGATTTCAGGAAACTCGGTTCCACTTCTGGCTGCTCGGATTTGAGAATTTTGGAGTCTCTACATATCTTCAAACGAAAACCATGTCTCAATAATGCGTTTAGCTCATATAATCTGGAAATAGTAAATCGCTAGGATTTTATATTCTTGTCGCACCCCTAGGACTAAGTTGTACCTAACTAGTCCGGTTTAGGTTTTATGCCTGTCTTTGAATTTTGACTTTTAAAGTGATTTTATTCATTTTTAGTTTAGTCGAACTGATGATGAAGCTGGACTCCGAAACGTTTTCAATATCGATATGGTGGATTTTCTTGGCGTTTTCTTTGCTTTTAAATTCCTTGTAAAATGTTCAAGATGTAATGTTTTACAAGTATCGAATGCAAAGGATACTTCGCCACGACGTTGATCACGCAGAAATAAATGTTATTACAAATTATAATGACTTGCACCACTAGAAAGTCTGAATTTTCATATCTTTAAAACATCATGTCATGATTATCGTCGATCAGAGTTGTAGCAAAAAAATAGGTGGCAAATAACAATCGAGGAAGAATGCACATGCGAACTGGCAGAAAGCCTCATTTTATCATCAAGTTATACATCATTTTTGGATAGAAAATGATTAAACTCATACATTATGTGACGTATTTGCTTCAGGTTTGGCTGTTAATTGCAGTCATGTTCATCACCGTCACGGTCATGGTTGCGATCCTTTTCTTCTTCTACGATGTTCATCATGGTACTTCGGGAGGAGCCATCGGGTGATAACTTATCACAGTTATAAAAGAATTTATAAATGCATTGAAGAATGAATTAATATTTGTTTGCACATCGTGACGAAACTTGAATTTGACAAAACTGTTTTTTAATTATGAGAAAATGAGAAACAGAGCAAAACGTAATTTATTTTCCTATTACCTATGGCTCGTGAAAAATTCAGAAAAAAAGACCGAACAAATTTTTCATCGCATTTTTCTACCTTCAGAAGCTCGGGAAAAGTCCCGACCCGTGCCGCAACTCGTGAGCCGGGGTGGAGGGCCTCTTATTTCACCATCGGGATGCTCCTCTCGCAGCGTGAGGACAATTTCAAAACTTGGCCGTCTTTCAAAAATGAGTGAATTACTGTCATAATAAAGTCTGTTGATCTAACCCATCTAAAGACTCTGCACTAGGGAGCTATGAAGTCAGAAGCTGTATCTGTTTTACTAACGAGCAAGTGTTTGTGCCTTAGACGGGAGCAAATTTCGAAGAGATAATAATGCAAAGATACAGTAAAACACAAAAAAATTATACTCGTACAGTATATGACTGTTCTGAAGTTACATTATAAAATTTGTATAAAAATAAGATAGATCAGCATGAGTTACATCAATGCAGTGATTCGTTGTCTCTAACCTGTCAAACAGTTTAATATTTATTTTTGATTGATGACACAGAGTTTCGATTAAAATTCCGGATTTGGTGCCAATTGCAACCACTCTGAATAATTATACAATTATATGAAACAGCTCCTCGCTGGAACCCCAACGGGGCGCTGGTGGTGCTGTTCATGACGGCGCTGTGGATGTTCATTTCGTTCATCGTGGCCAACGTGTATCGGTCCAACCTCGTGTCCATGCTTGTGCTGCCCAAGATAGAAGTGCCCTTCGAGACGCTCGATGAGCTCGTCAACCAACACGAGTACAAAATCGTCATGCCTGCAGGCGGAGCTTTGCAGCAGAAAGCAATGGTATACAGTTTTTATATTCAAGCATAAATCTCGAGTTTTTGTGGAAGTCTTTCTTAATTTGAAAGGAGGGTATTATAAAATTTCGGTAAAACAAAAACGCAGGTATATTATTCATTAAAGATGGCCTGACTTTGTGAGGGGGAACCTCATTGCATGCAGGAAAGTTAGACAATTATTTCCAACTGATTTATTGGCAGGCATGCAAATTTTGAAAATAGTCATTAAGCTAGTTTCATAGTTTTTTGTTCCAGTCCTTTTAATTTTATTGAAGTAGATGCTATACTGTTTGAATATTTTTCTGCTGCGCCACATTTTCCTGAACGAAATTCAATGGCATCGTAACCATTCACTTCATTGCCAACGCACTGAAATAATTTCTACCAACGATCAGTTTATGAATCTTTCCATGCGTTCATTACATTTTAACTATCATTTATTGCTGAAATTAACAGCATACAAAAATTTGTGTTGATTTCTAACTAAAATCTCATAACGGATAAAAAATCTCATAACGGATAAAAAATCTCACAGACACGCATGCACTATTCTCAACTTGCGGTTGATTCGAAGTGATAAAGGTTTATACAAGGTTCATACATTTACTGGATTACTCGAAATTTTGAAATATCATCCACGTAGATACTACCCTAATGCTACATTAACAGTGTGCCCTGCATTCAAACTATGTCTGTCTTTTCCATAAAAATCTTGAAACAGGAAGCTCCTCCAAATTCAGTCTTGGGGAAACTCATGCGCGGTACAGAGGTCAGCATAGATTTTAGCTACTCCTACCAGGCCATTCTATTTCGAAAATACGCTGGCATTGGCAACGAAATACAACTCGACGTATTCCGAGATTTTCGTTATAGCCAGGTACGAGTGTTATAATTTAAGTGCATATCTTTAGTTTGCACAGAAATACGAACAGTTATGAAACCATCTGTATTAAATAAATTAGATCAGTACTCACTGCAGTGAGTGACAGAGAGCACATTTTCTCAGAGAGCGTCCGTGAAATCACGGACGGACGGACATGACAAGCACATGCAATAGCGTTTTTTTCCATAAATAAGAAAATGAGCTAAAATTTGTTCAGTATATCATCGTTGTGGACTATGTGACAGTAACCAAAAATTGTCGTCAGTACATAATTTCATTTTCAACTATTCACGACGGATTGAAATACCAATTTGTAGAGTAGCACTGACCTGAACTAATTTATATATTGTACAAATCTTGAACGATTGGTATTTTTCCCGAATTGACAAATTATTGCTTCATTTAATTTAGTGGCTATAGTGCACATCTCTAGTTATTGCAAAAATTTCTCCAATTTGCAGATAGCTCAGTGTCCATTCACCGTCACCAAGAACGGGTTCGTCACGGGCATTCAGATGAGCTACGTCTTCCAAAAAGGATCTCCACTCAAACCAAAATTTGATAAAGTGTAAGCGCACTTGTTGGCTTAAATACATTGAATGTTTGGTCAACGTTTCCAAGATTATTATTCAACGCCTATAAATGTGCTTACCATACATTTTCATTTTAAAGTGAACGCTCAAAGTTTCAATTCGAATCTTAAAATACAGTTATGGATAAATAAATTATAAATAAATGAATAGAATATGATCTCATGTGGAACGTGCTAGAAATAAGCGAACGGTTGAACTTAACTCTCCTATGTGCACAGAATAATTTAGAGTAACGTTATAAAATTTTGTTGCTCAATTATATATATATATATTTAATTATTTTATGTGGTTTTTGGTTTCTAAATTTATATCAGTTCACGCGTTCTAAACCAAAAAAACATTCATGTTACTCCTTTTCAAAGTTGTTCCAATACGCAGGATAACCCGTTTGCGGGAGGCCGGACTGCTGGACCACTTCTTGGACCGCGCGCTACCAAACGCTTCGCATTGCCGCAAAAAAGTCAACAATTCCAACGAACTGCGCCCGCTCTCCTTCTGGGACGTTGCCGGGATGCTTTCCCTCTTTCTTGGTGGTAAATGCTTGAACAATTTATGAAATAAAATTTTCGACATGCGAATAATAAAATTTTTTCTTTTCTTTTTTTCTACAGCATTGTTACTCTGCTTTTTAAGTGATAAAACATAGTTTTGATGTTTAATGAACAATCATGCGCTCAGGCTACGGCGTTGTGCTTGAGATAGATGTATTACCTAGATATAATTAATCGTATAATTTATTTCTATTCGTGAAAAGTCAGTTCGCACAATTAGGAACTGGGAAGAAATATCAATGTTGTTTAATGATGAAATCATGAACTTTCTTGTTCCACTGTTCTGGAATGGACCAAACATTTTTGACAAACAATAGTTATAAAAAATTATTTTGAAGAGTTTGATGTCGAGTCTGGTCTCTAAAATGCATTCGTTTCTCTCAGGTATTGCCGTTTCGACCATTGCATTTTTGCTGGAAATTTTCCTGAAACCGGACGCTGTTCCGGCTCCTCTGCATCGGCCGGTCCGCGCGATCGCAAGGTTCCGGCTCCTGGAGAGAACAGCGAAGGTCTTCACGAGGCTCTTGAGGTCTTGCAAACTTCCGCCTGGAGAACCGAGTGTGGTTAAGCCTGATGGGCAGAAAAAATGAAGAATGGAAATGCTGCAATAATCGTGCAATATCAAATTCTGGTTCACGAAAATTCATATGCAAGAAAAAGTATGTGAGTTGTACCGTTCAAATATTTATTTCACTTATAATAATGAAGAAGTATATAATCATTAAACCGAGCACAAGCGAAAAATGACCGACGTAAAATTTCAATATAAAACCGGGTAACTTAACGATCAAAGGTTTAATGTATAAAAAAGCATAATAACTTTAAGGTCATCAAACATTAGAACTAAACTAACATTAATATCATTGCTAAAATTCTAAGTAGTTTAAAATAAAATTAGAGGTAATGAGTTGAAGTCACACATAATCTTTATTTAAGACACAATTAATAGATAAGTACACATGAAAACTTCGGTTCAAAATGGAAATTTAAAGGTGTTTTGTATATGGACGATTGCGTGACGATTAAATTACTAAACTTTAGTGACAATAATGGTGTGTAAAAATTAATTACTTTGTTTCTGATCAACGAATTGGGAAATTCTCGCAACCTGACTTCTTGGAGCACTATATACGCTTAAGAAGTAGGCGACTCGCTGTGATGAATTAGAGCTGCAATTTTGTGCCACAGCTATTTGGTCACATTATATGTATTGGTTCTGATATCTCTCATCGTAAATTTCACTGTTTCTGTGACCTGGGTAATTTAACGTGATCTTTATGTCAATGCGCGCAACATTTGAGTAGGTAGATAATTTATGTTACGGGTTAAGTTCAAGTTCGATAAATGTATTTCAAACACTGCAGCACACCCGCCCCATTTAACTGCTATTTCGCTTGCGGTAGCGCTTAAATTATTTTTGAAGATTTACTTGAAGGTGCATCCGTACAGTATTCTGTAAACGCTATACAACGATTTTTATTGACGGGACCAAGTCGGATTATTGCCTTGAACTTACTCTCTTTACTTATCTTTATCCATAATACTATAAGTGCTATGGTGTTCCTTTTTTGAACTTGCCAGTTGACCGTTTAAACTCCTTAAACTTTGCTCAACACAATCGTACATCTAAAAGCACTTCATGTGCACTTATTTTTAATTGAATAAAGTGAGAGCTCAGTCCGTATTGATTTACGGAGCAGGGATGACCGATATATTGCTTTACGAGTTACTATGTATTGACACATTTTACTAATACGCCAATGTTTTTCCTGGTATATACAATTTGAAGGCCGATTCTCGGGCTTGCACCGTCCTGTTATTCTGGCGTGCTGGCGGAGGCGGAGCGAGAAAACTAAATTGTAAGGTGGCCTGATGCCTTTATTTTTGTTTCAAACTACGAATACCTTGCAGCTGCAAGGTCATTGAGGAATAAAATATATTTGATTGAACGTCTTATAATCGTTTAAACTCTTTCTGGTTATGGTAGCTGAGGTTCTAACAGAGCCTTGCCTCATGCGTAGGAAAATTCCGTACAAATAGTATTCTTATGCTTTTCCTTAAATGATAATTGTTATACGTGTAAAATATACATAATTAATCACTTATAGTCATTTTGTTCAGTTTGCAAGTAAATATGTTAAACGACCTGAAACTGCAAAATTGTGTGCTGAATTTACGCGCAAGTGGGGCTGAATATTTTGAATTTTTGACGACTTTTTATTTGGAAAAGATGAATTGAAGTTTAGAACGATAAACAAAAATTGTATTCGTAGTACTTAAGTTATAATTGTTAGTAGTAGTTTGATAGAAATTGAGTTAGAATAAATGTAACAGAATGAATAGTGTTCTAGAAGCCAAAATAATTTGTCGTTTGCCTCATTTCAAAGTTTTACTGGTTCGTCATGCTACATATACCTACAGCCTCCATTTTTTCGGACAACAGTACTAATGCTTGCAATAATAAATTTACATATACTGTGAAAATATGTTTAAATAAACGCTGTGCTGTTTTACCTGATTAGTTAGACGGTAGGGCTTAAACGGCATATATCTAACAGATGATCTTTACTTTCACCTCCCGTTTGTATGTTCGACTGTTTGACAACTTACGCAAGTAATAATTTAATCCTCCAACCCTAGAGTTCAAGGTTTTTACATGTAAACATAAAGTGTCTTCTATTGGGCGATGCTGTTATAGAGTGAGCTTGATGTTTCAGGAAACGATGACATTCACGCTAAACTAATATTCGAGTGAAGTGGACTTCTTAATGAATTAATTTGAAATTAGGTAATTCGAGATACAAATAAGTTGATTCTAAGTTAGTGAATGAAATTTAAGTTATTAGTAATACATGTTGAATAGTTCAAAAGCTGAAAAAATTCAGCATAGTTATAAGTTCACGAATATGAGCCTCGAAAATGAGGCTTTGCTGTTCAATCACGCTATTCTGAGTTTAATTAGGCGATCAAATGCGATCTCATGTCCGACGAAGTCCATCCATCATCTAAATTGTTGTCTCAACAGGCACCAGTTGCTGGTGAAGATCTTATTTTTATTCCTTCATCTCATATTTAATTTGACTTCAGCATCTGGCGTTAGTGGAACTTTGCGTAGAACGTTTGATTGGTGGATCTCAATGAATTTGTTTAGTGGATCTCAATGACTTGATTAGCGGATCTCAATAATTTTCTTTAGTGGATCTTAATGATTTTGATTAGTGGATTTCAATGATTTTTTTTAGTGAATCTCAATGATTTTGTTTAGTGGATCTCAATGATTTCGTTTAGTGGATCTCACTGATTTTGATTAGTGGATCTCAATGATTTTGATGAGTGGATCTTTATGATTTCGTTTAGTAGATCTCAATGATTTCGTTTAGTGGATCTCACTGATTTTGATGAGTGGATCTCAAAGATTTTGATTAGTGGATCTCAAAGATTTTGATTAGTGGATCTCGAAGATTTTGATTAGTGGATCTCGATGATTCTGTTTAGTGGATTTCGGTGCAGTGGATCACTTGAGCATCTGGCGTAGTTGATTTATCATAGCAGCCAGCGACCTGCGATCAAGTTCACTGAGAGAACTGGCTGCTGCTCTGACCTGCGCAAGGACTTATTCGAGGTGAAGTGTGCACCGCGCCTCAGTCTCTGCCAGATGTGGCCGACATCACAGCCTATTATGGTGATGCTCGCGCGTCGGTGATAATCGCAACACACGAGTTACTGTGGCACGAGCTGATGTGTTACCGCTGTATATTATAGCGTCTAGCACTGAAGTCAGTGTATTTTGGTTAGGAAGTTTGTGATCGTAATGGCTGGCGCATTAACTTATTAAATTCTAGGTGTAATGACTTCAATGGTGACCTATGATGACACAAAGTTGAAGGGTCAATTGGAGAAAAAATCAGAAATGACTGTCTCCATGATTTATTCATAACACACCAGACTAGGTACCCGAGTGAGGTCATCGCCCTAGGTAATATGTGTTAATTCGTGTTTGTGATGTGTAAATGTGACACCAACATAATATGTGTTTGTTCGTATCGGCGTCTGATGATAGGCTTTCCATACCGTGTTTCTGCCTCAATATCTTCTGTGTTTCTGAACTGATGAAATGTACCAAACGATACAGTATGCAGATCATCGCCAGTTAAATGATGCCACAATGTAAAATGAATGTTAAATTAATTGATAGTACCGCTAAAGAGCGATGTTTTACGCCGTTCGGATTTTATCCTATGTCTGAAAGAAATTGGTGGGAAAAGAAATATCGGCACCACAGGCCGACATCAATAGCGAGGAACCTGGATAGTTGTAGATGTTTTGGAGCCTCAAGGTTCGGGTCGTAATTTGAAAATTTGTAATCAAGCTATATATGGGTAAATGAACAAATATTTTCCTTTTATTCGTAGTTTTGTCGGGTATCCATCCCATTGATGAAAAGTATTCGTTGTTAGGAATTATTAGAAAAGTATTGGAATTTTTTACTGAGTATATATTGAAAACAAAGTTTTCAAATCAAAGTAATCAACGTTTTGGAGTTTTCAGTTCAATATTATTGTTGCACTTCTGAACCTTTTTTTTTGTTTTGTTTTCTTTGCTAAGGTAAAAACGCAATCAATGTCAGCATAATAACCGCAATATATTTAATTCGTTTCGTGCACGCAATTCTTGCATTTGGATGTGAGTAATTTATGTTTGTCTTAAGTGCTAAGTTAGCCATGCATTCACTAGTACATAATTAAATGGCTTCGTGATAGAGGTTTCTCCCTCCCGCAGTAGCATTTTTTAACAACTATACTGAGTAAAATTCGTACGCGAGACTTCTCAGTGAAACATCTGATTCGAAAGCAGCCTCTTGTACTGAATGAATGCATTTCCCCCATTCATGTAATCACATTAATAAATTTTCCGTAAGCGGCAATTTACGTGAACTTTAAAACTTGAATAGGGAAGCCACAATGGCCAATAGATTACTATTGTTTCGTGTATGTACTGTATAGTATAGAATATCACTGAGCTCTTATCTTGGCTACGAAGCATGAAAGAACGTTGATGTAACCCTCATCACGTCACCACCAGGCATTGCATGTGCTACTGATGGCAGGACTCTGGAGTAATGGTAAAGTTCTGATAGACTAAAATAACTAAATAATAAGCAGAGTTTTAGGTAAGATTAAAGATATACTAATGACAAACGTGAAGAAGTATAAAAAGGGTTTTATTATATCACTGCTGTAAAGTATTTTATAGCACCTATTTGAATCATAAACATCTATCATCGGGATTGGTAATGAAAATGAGTTAACAGGACATACCTGGTCAGTAAAAATAAGCTACACATTTTAAACTTTCAGGAAATGAGTCCCATAGATGTTTAGCACGAAAATTTAAGTTAGTAGTGAGCAGTTTTAAAATCTTTCTATATCAGCGATATGCACCATAACTGCAGAATGGCAGTTACACGGGAAGATAGAAACGTTTAGATAGTAATGAATTTTTGCGTCATAAGAAAAGTTGGTGTGGGGTAATGCAAGCTGATTGATTATATTATGTTCTAAGACAGTTATGGGCAGCCCATCTCCGAAGCGGTTCTTAGCAAGATTCAAGTCAGTTACATTAGAAAAGAACGGACTTGTGAGGCAGTAACAAGCAACCTGTAAAGATTTGATAGCTTATTTACTGAAGAATTGAAGAGAAATAATGCAGCTACGTTCATAGGAAAGTAGTGCACAAACATAAAGAGAATATCACGCAAGTATAAGAAGGAAGGCTGCTCATGCAGTAACATGCAACAGGAAATTGTTCACGTTCATTTAGATGTGGCAGGAAGAGCTCACAGGCAGTTGTGAGTGGTACGCTTGCTGCACCAGCAACGGCCACTTGAAGCGACTCAGTGAGGCGTCGGCTGTGGCGCGTGTCGATTACCTAATCTGCCAGCTAGCTCGACCATCTGTCAACCGGCAACCAAGCGTTACCACTGCTGCCAAGATGAGGTACGCACTATTTACAGCACTTTATCGTGTTTAATATCATTATGAGGGTAAACATGGACATCAATATGTAGATTAATAGAACGCTTTGAAATGGATAAAAGCGATCACACGGCATGTGGAGCTGTTGCTTATGAATTTGACACACAATGGTTATTAACTTATTATATATTCTATCCTATAACTCTCTGTATAGAACCCTGATGGAATTCCTCGCCGTCGAAACTTACTGGAAATTAAATGGCAGAAATGTGTTCCATGAGAATGCTAGGAAAAGATTCAGGAATAAATGAAGCTCACTGGAATAAATAGTTGGACGAAAGTAAAAGTGGTCTAAAAGCCTAGAGAACGTTTGCATCACCGGGATGAGCTAAGTAGGACACCATCTGTCAACCGACAAGCATTGTAACACTTTATTTAACTGTTAGTATATTTCCTAACTCTAAAATTGATATCTTATTTTTGCACGCTGATGACTGGCAAGAGTCCATACAGACTAATGTTGAATGATATTAGCTGTTAGGAGAGTTACTTATTAGAGTTATGGATCAACTTGCTGAACGAGTTACTGTGTCGCTCCGAACGATGACTATAGATGCTTTTTTCATTGTTGCAGAGAGTAAGTGTTTCTTAGTTTAAAAACTGATGCCTGAGTTGTGTAATTGATTTAATTTTAAACTGTTCAGAGTGTACTTGCTTTGGTTAAAATTTGCTAGCAGCAAGCGTGAATTAATATGGTTTTGTTAGTTTGTGTGTTCAACCGGTTCAGAGTGCGTGCATTCGTACGTAGGTGAAGTAACATACAAGTAGGTACTAGGTTGCACGAAGCTTGGAAGGAGAAAGGCTAGCGTCTCATTGCTCAGTCTCTCGCATTCCCCGACCATCCTACTGACTGTGAAGGTCGTATCCCAGATTTGTGAGCCTCAGACATAACCCTGCTCATTTAATTAATGCACGCAACATTTATTTTCTATAAAGGTACTCTTACTAAAAAGGTTAAGTTCGTAAATACTGGAAATTTAAAACAATTCACTCGGCATATAGATTGAAGTCTTCCTAATTTAGCAAGACTAATTTATACATGTTGCATCCGTTTAAGGGAGATGAACTACCTATATTCGTATGTATAATATATTCTCACTTCCATGCCTTATTATTGAAGCATCCCGTCGCCAATATAATTTGTTATATTTAAACACCGTTTATTGCAGTTTTTCATGATTTTATTTCATGCGAGTTCCGAAATTTCTTCTTGTTATGCCAGCAAGCTCTTACTCTGCTATCCCATATTCTTGAACGATGACTGGCGTTTAGAGTTCATTAATTGCATTGTCGATGCTATAACATCATACGGGTTAGGAGATAACTCTTTTAATGTCTTAACTAATATGAATTAGTCCAACCATTACTTGATATACCTGATATGACTATGAAGTTTCGAGATTGCATTAGCTTCTGACACACGCCATGCTTGTCGTAGGCTCATCCCATGTGTTGTAAAAAGATCAATAATTATACGCAGCTCAATAAAAAACCTGAGATGATATGATGTTTATATTGTAAGACGTACAGTGTTATAACAGTTGAGATTAGGGGGCAGATTAGATTATGCTTTTCATATAACAAACATTTGTTCACTTAATATCGCAATGCGATATGAAGATCATAATTACTGCCTAGGTTAGAAGAACAAGCATCAATGTTTGCAGGTCGTCCCGGAAGCTAATGATTTTTGAACGGAGAAGAAAATTCAACGTCCATTGAGTCGCTTTCTGCTTACTGTTCGTATAAATTGCGAAAGTCAACGCTGCTGGCTCGGGAATAACAATTCTGTCTGTCTAGACAAACTAGGATCGCGACTTCGTGCGTGCATACAAGTATTTGTTATATCTGCGTCTGCAAATGGCATGCCCGTGTGCTTGGCAAGACGAATGACGATTATTGTTGTGAATATAATTTTTAGCGTACATGCATTTTTATTCTTGATTCCAACTGCATTTTACAAATGGCGTAGAACAAGTTAAATGTAAATGTTTTTGCAAGTGTATGATACCGAACATGTCTTAAAAATAAGGCGTGTAAAATGTTTTATGACTTGCGCGCTGGCCTATACTCATCTTGATTGATGGCAGTATACCTAGATTTTGCCAAAGCATTTGAAAGTGTTCCGCATGAGTATGAAAAAGTGAAGTGTTTGGGAATAGAGGGAAATGTAATCCAATGGAACAGGGATTTTCTATTACATAGACGACAACGTGTCGGTATTTTAAGGGAACCGTATCAGACTGGGCACCAGTGCGCAGTTGCGGGCTACAAGGAAGCGATCTAAGGCCTGTTTTGTTCATTGATTTTAAAAACGATCTGCCAGTAGTGCCAAGCGTGTGCTCTATGTATGCCGACGACACAAAAGTTTATAATACAGTGAAGGATGTGTCCAATAAAGTGCGATTGCAAAATGACTTGATAGTTTAGTTAACTGGGCTGAATCTTGACACTGCGTTTTAATGCTGAAACGTGAAATGTCCTCCTCGGCAGGAACAATGAACAGCAAGACTATAGTAGGAAAAGACGTGGTTGCAACGAGAGAGTAATGATTGAAAAGTCTAGCATGGAAAAAGATTTGGGCGTTTATGACAACAAGGAGCTGAAATTTTAGAGTTATAGTGAAACGCAAGCTAACAAATACAATAAACTTCTTGGACTGATCTGACGCTCCTTCGAGTTCCGTGATGCAGATGTGTCCGGTGTCAATGCGCAACTTCGGACAGATGCGATGAAGCAGTTGTTTGTCGCTGTCGTGCGCCCGAACCTAGAGTTTGCAACAACGTGCAAACATGAACATCATGAAGGTGCAACAAGGATAATTCCATGCTTGAAGGGCAAGTCATATGAAGAAAGATTAAAGATTACGAAGTTTCCAAGCCTCTGTTACCGACGTCTGCGTGACGACCCTAATTGAAGTATTCAAGTATCTAAAGCAATTTAAGTAAATATGGTTTATATAAAGCTCCAGAAAGATTACTAGAATTTAGAACAAGAACAAACAAAAGAGGCCTCGATTAAAAAACTGCGATGCAACTCATCCACGCGACCACACTTCTTGCTGCTCGCCTTGGGTCACCGATATGTTGACCCCAACGCGTTCAGGAACAGACTAGATAAAGCCATGGAGAAATACATGTTCAGACCTAGCACCATATCGAACCTGCTGCCAGTATAGTAGCTATTCCAAACTATCGCCAGTTTTGAAAAGATCTTGTCAGAATGCCTGTATTTAGATCTCCTTTGAACAAGTCCCGAAAAGTACAAGAATAGACGACAGGCCACACAGGCCTATTCTTCAGCGCTTGGGTGAACCCCACATACTTCGGAATGTGATCCGACTATTTATAACTATGGAAAGTGTGTTCATAGTCTCTGAACTATAGACGAACAAAGAATGGGAGACATATTAGTAGAACAAACATCAATGAATGAAAAACGAATGAACGAACCGCGTTAGGGAAACATTGCTACAAATTTGCTGCGACTCGGCATCTGGCCATCTGCTGTGAGTAGGAGACCGTACCTACTAACCTTCTGTTTCATGTTCTTCACTTTATGATTTGAGCGAATTTCTATGCATCGACATTCAAGCCCATACTTTAGCTTAAATAAATATCTCTAGGTAAATTTATATATTTGGAAGGTTTAGAATTATAGATATTGAAACGATTACTTATATAAAGTCAACTACAGTCAGCTGTCATATTACAGTCGTCACTTCATCAGGCGGGAGTGAAGTTCATCTGTTCACAGTGTTCAGTTTTCAGTGTATGCGCGACTCGTGCAGGGAAAGGATGTGCATTGCTGTTGATAAGATTGCCGAACATCATGTGTTCTAAACCTCATTAAATCCAAGTTTTTCTGCAAAAAATATCGTATATTCTGCTAGTTATAAATTAAATGTGTACGTTAGGCATAATATAATGTGTACAAAGTTGACGGTTTGAATTGTTTTGATTTCATGTGTTTACGTTGTGTGTACTGGGAGATGGAGCCGCGGAGTAGGGGTTGCGTCGACCTCCGTGATCGTTTACACAGCCCTGCACGAGTTCTACCACCAGTTGCTTTCGAGTTACGACTATTAAGTTCCTAACAAGTTGTTTTAAACGAAAGAAAGAGTATTATCATAACTCATTGAATTTAAAAGTAATCCGGCCAATATGATATTTGAAAAATTTAAATTACTCTAACTCGCAAGGAGTTAATTCATTAATCATGGCGTCAATCACTCAATGACACACGAGTCGCCACTCATCAGATACGTTTTCTGATTGATTTAGTTTCTTGAACATTAATAACAGTCATCACTCCTCATAAAATGGAATGATGTATTTACTCAACAGTCTCAACTCATGCAGTGAATTACCGTCGATGCAATTATGCCACTAACTTAGCCTTCGCCATGCATCATGCCACTTGCCGTCTTGCGTCGCCGGCGGCTGACCTTCAAAAGAAACGATCTATTTAGTCAACACAACAGAACCTCAACTTTCTAGCATTGCCATTATGAGAGCATTTTAATTATATATAAGGTGGATTGAATATTATATTTATTTATTTATTATGTGTGTGTGTATTCATGTCTATAATTTATTTAGGTGACAGTTTGTGAGGATGTTATAATGTTAATGTAAATTCAGAGCTGGGCAGCACTACTTTGAAATGTAGTGGCCGCTACCGGCCTACCGCTACCGCTACATGCTCTAAATGTAGCAGGCGCTACCACTACACCCACTAGATTGCAGCGAGTGCTGCCGCTACAGTAAAATGTAGCGCCACTACATTAGCCGCTACAATGGCCAAAATTATTGGAAATCTCTAAATATTTATTGTTCTGTCATAAGTGCTATTGGGATTTACTCATAAACATTTAATGATAAAAAAACATTTTAAAAACATATCAATGCAACTTTATTGAAATTAACCTAACCAAACTAGTACGGGTTAGATACAGTAAATAAAAGTTAGTTATTTTTTTTTTACCTTCCCTAGTCCTACATGGATACCTGTAATGCTGTATCTACTTTAATCTACCAATCTCAAAAATTATCCACATATTGACATATACATATAAAAAATCGGTCTTTTATTTGTATATAATGTGGATTATTTTTGAGATTGGTAGATTAAAGTAGAGTTCCATGTAGGGAAGGTGAAACATAAAAATAACTATGTACAAATAATGGTAAGCAAACTGAAACATGAAAAAATACCTGTAAGTGGTAACTGGTAACAGCTTAACAAGTAACAACTAACATGTTGACACTAGTAACAGGCTGCGGTTGACAACATTGCACTGAAATCTTTTGTACAGTTTTATTCTGTAATTTATATTATGTATGCATCATGCTGGTTTTTAAATAATATTTAATACTATTAAGTAAAATCTAAAGGCTTTAACAGTAAATGTAGCGGTAGCTCTGTAGCAGCAAAACCTCGTATTGCTACTTAAATATGTAGCGGGCGCTACCGCTACATTGCCTTGGATGTAGTGCTGCTACTGCTACTGAAAATGTAGCGGCCACTGCATGTAGCGTGCTACTGCCCAGTGCCCACCTCTGAATATAATATAGAATATGCAGTTGAACACCACCAATAGGTACAGCATATCTATTGGATTTTTTAAAATGATGAATAATTGTTTTAGCCTATTCCGTTTACAGATTGATGCTAATCATTTTTATTATGTGGAGCTGGAACAGCTAGTCTTATTTAAATCATTTAGGTTTTTGATTTGGCACTACACTGCTGTTGCAATGCCTTCAGTTGCTGGGTTAGATGCCCACCAACCAGGTGAGTGTTGAACCATCCTTGAAAATGCTTGAAAATCAAGCCCTGATACATCCTCTACAACTACCACCATTTAAAAGTATAGTACACATGAAGTGAATACCGTAAAATGGGGTAACTTTGACCACTTTTTTTTCAAAATGATGCCATTTTTTTACTAGATAAGTTAAACATAAATTGAAACATGCAAAATACAGGTCTATACTCTAGCTTTACTCACCATAAATTGCTGGCTCCTGCCTCTCATAGTTTTAACGTAATTTAAAAAAAAGTGATGGTCTTTGTTACCCTAGCTCTTGGGGCTTCTTTGACCAGGTGGTAAAATCAATTTTAATTTTTGGTAAAATAAACTCCAAATAACTCCAGGTTGTGGTGCATTGTAGTAGAACTCTTTAGTTACATATACAAAAGACAAATTTTAGGAAAGTGCCATAGTTTGCAAATGGGGGGTGCCACCCCCCAATGGGCGAAATGTGACCACCTAATGGCAGCCTTGACAGGGTAACATTGACCGGTTTGGAAATTAAGTTAAAATTACCATATATATGACTCTGTAGAGTCTGAAACATAAAGAAAAAGACATTAAAACGTGTATCAAACATAAAATATGTTATATAGGTACCTATGGTAATTTTAACTTAATTTCCAAGCCGGTCAATGTTACCCCGTCACGGCTGCCATTAGGTGGTCAAAGTTCCCCCATTGGGGGGCAGCACCCCCCATTTGCAATCTATGACACTTTCCTAAAATTTGTCTTTTGCATATGTAACTAGAAGAGTTCTACTACAATGCATCAAAACCTGGAGTTATTTTACCAAAAAATTGGAGGGGATACTCCAACAGGCTTTAAATAATAGCTCTTTTTTGTGGGTGACATTATTATTTTTAACCTATTAGATATGCAAGCTTTTTAAATCTTTCTATTGTGTTACGTAGCCTCAGTATTAGGCCTTTGATGGCCATTGACAAAATTTGTCTCTGTCAAATCGTTTTTGAGTTTTGGGGGTTTTTGTTAAAAAACAAAAGTGGTCAAAGTTACCCCGCCGGTCAAAGTAACCCCCATTTTACGGTACTTTATCATACTTGGGACTTTGTGTCAAGCAAATGGGAACTGATTATGGTGACCTGTCAGCTGGCAGCTGCCTATGTCTTAATAGCAAGATTCCCAACTTCATTCAGAAAATTTCTTGTTCTATTGAAGTTAAGTGAGGAAATGAAATTTTGAATGCATTTTTTCTTTAATAATTCAATTTGGCAGGATATTTAAGACAGAATTGCTTCAGTGAAGGTTTAAATGCTTCAGCTTATGGTTCTAGCTTTCCTTCCAGTTGATATGTGCCATCACATTTTTCATCTCATGAACAGCAGAAAATAACATAAATTTTCTGTGTTCTCTGTCATATGTACCTACATGTTCATCTAATTCCAGTTTATTTATACAGGTGTCATGTACATGTTCATCTAATTCCAGTTTATTTATACAGGTGTGGACAACCCTGAATACTTCCAAATGTTACCAAACACTCCTGTTGCATCATCAGGAGCAAACTGCATCTCCTCCGACTTGAGAATCTCATCTAATACTTCAGAATCTCATAGTACTTCTCTTACATCTCCTAATGGAAATAGTATCTCAACTGACTCTCATTCATCACAAGTTTTATCAAATAACTTTAATGAAAATGGCAACAATTTATCTCCATCCCTCAAAACTTTTACTAGTGGAGATAGCAAAGAAGTTATTCCTCATCTTCCACCCAGATCTATCCATAGTCCTGTTTCCTCAAATTCCAATGCATATAATTCTCACATTGTTTCACCAATTGAAAATCTATCTCCTCCAAAGGTGAGATTAAAAGATAATTAAATAAAAACTTGATTATTATTAATTTATAAACCTGAGATGAGCAATCTATTGTCAAGATTACATTGCCATATAGGTAAAAGTTGTATTGTTACAAAAAAGCTGACCTGAGAATGCAATTAATCTCTGGTCAATTAATAACCAGAGAATGCAAAACAATTGTAAAGGAGTCGAATAATTTTTTAGATGATGATGGTAAATCAAAAGGCAGGTTTAGTAAGTACTAATAATATATTAACAACATTTCAAATGTAAAAACATATATTTTCAAGTTAAGAGAAGCTTTGAATATTAATAAAATTTTCTTGGATAAAGTACAAAATACAAAGTAAATACCATACAACACAAAAATTTTGAGCCAGAAAGTCCCTCCACAAGCAATCTCAAAGTTTAGACAAATCCGGCAGCCCAGAAATAGACATCTGGGGTCCAATCCAAAATTATGAGGGCTCCAACAATTGTTGGTCAGTCAATGTTGTTCACCTTAAATTTCAATGCAAAACTGTAAACATGCTGTATGCATTAACTTGTGTGTAATTTTATAATTTTGATTATAGGTATTCAGCTGCCTAATGAGAGTTTAAATACCTGATGGAATTCATTTTTCTGTTGTAATTCAAGTTTTTGTCAATGTTTTTATTATTTTTGAGCAAGAGTGCTCTTATTTATTTGTCCAGTACCTATCATTGTCAGCATGTTCACCTGCAAACGGCAACTGTGACAGCCTCATGTCATTACTAAGAAGTTTATAGGTATACATATATATATTTGAGCTATGAAACCCTATTTAACTTGGTCTTATATCTAATCAAACTTAAGCCTGCCTTGCTAATTGATTTCATAATTCATAGATCCCTCCTCGGCCTGCTGCTCTTTCTTCATCTTCATACCTCGGTGAATACATCTATGCTGAAACATCCAATGTGAGTGACTTACACTGCAGCTCACAATTTAATAGTGAAGGGAGTTTTTTTTAAGGCTTTCCTGTCACAGTATTCAAAATCTTTTTATTTTTTAATTATTCCTAGGAGTAATTAAGGTTATGTAGATAAAATCATAAATAATGAATGAATGAAATCATAAAATTCATCATAAATAATGGTTTTATAATTGGGATTTAAGCCTGCAGTGATGACATGCAAGAACTAACCAAATTGGTCATCTTTTTGTTAGGCTTTGTTAGGTATTTCTGAAGGCGGCGATTACATATGAACCCATGTAGGGTTAAGGTAGACATGATTGCCTCTTCTTAGCAATTTATCTATCATCTGTATCAGATTATAAACTAATTTGTAATTATTTCAATTAATCAGTGTTGAATTTTTTCAGATATCTTCCAGCTTGCAGCGTTCTACAAGCTCTGCCAGCAATGGCAGCAATGGCCCTACTTCATCACGAGATCCTCAGACATCATCACCATCATCATCTTCACTTCATTCCCCTCTCATCAATTTACCACAATCTCCTTCAGGCTTCACTGGTTCCACCCCGTCGTCCATCACTGCTGTTCACAACGCATTGTATCACTCACTGGATTCATCAAACTCCTCCACACCCCCAACTTTACCCCTCAAGGGACTCACTCTCATTCCTCCAGCTGTGGGTCCCAAATCCCCCCTTCAATCCCCTTCTTCTCCCAATGATAATAGCCATCAGAACGCCTTTAAAAACTCTCAGCCATATTTCACATCCAAAACGACATCAAGGTCTCTGTCAACGACTGAGTCTCGAATCTCTGAATCAGTGAAGCCTTCTTACCACCAGTCACTTTCCAGTCCTGTTCAGTCCCTCAGTCAAAGTCGTTTGCAATCTCAAGCTAACAGTCACTACCAGTCAGGCTCTAGTAGCTCTTTGTTAAGTCATTCCCAGATGAATACTAGTCAGACCACCACTATAAGTTGCCATTCTTCACAGCTGTCTCCGTTGTTCTCGTCTGAAGCTCCTAGATCTCCTATGCTTTTTGAAGATAAATACGATCTTTCTTACTGTGAGAGCCAGACACTTCCTCGCAGGAGTAAGATTTTGTATCCAGTTAATGGTGGACTTTCAAGTACTATGGATTCTGGTGACAGTGGCAAGATTAGTTCTGGAAATGATTCTGAGAACTTAAATGGCAGTCTTTTGAACAATCTGTCTAGCATGAGCGCGAGCTTTCACGAGTCCAGCTTGCAAACATTTGAAGGCAGCAGAACAAATCCCCATGGTCGTTGTTCCTTAGAAGACTTGCGCTCATCTCAACTCAAGAAACAAGAGGTAAGCTTGCAACGTTTGCCTTGCCTCATGAGTCGCATTTAATCAAGTGTAACTATTATCTATCTCGCTGTTTCCATGGCAGTTTCAAATTTCCATAGTAGAATTGCCATTTATTTACGCTTTGTTCTGTGAAGAATTCACTGTGAAGAGCATTTTAATGATCAGATTTCATCCCTAAAAATCTGTTTATATTTTTCAACTGCTAATTTTTTTTAAATTAATAGTCTTTCTACTATTCTTTTATGCTTGTGAATTTTTTCAGTTGCCGTCATGACCGACATGTTATTAATCTATCGACATAACTGATTTTTCATTGATACTGCAGGCAGTGTCAGCGCGGCTGGCAGAGGAAGCATCACACGAAGCAGAGCGTCAGCGTCTAGAGGAGATCTTGCAGATGTGTGCAGAGTATCAGCGTCAGTACTCTAACTCCCCACCGCCTCCCTGCGATCCTCCCCATGCTAAACTGCGCCAGTCTTCCTCACCTCACGGCGACCGTCCCCAAGCGTCCACTCTTATCCCCTCACCCACCTCGACGCTAACGCAAAACCGGTAAATTTGGATTTGAATAAATTTGGATTTTATTGTTGCAATTTGTACAGTTACAGTGAGCTAAGCTGCCTCTCGACTACTTGTGAACATAGCTTTGCTTATTTCAGCACTCGCTCAGAACTGGCCAGTGCAACCATGTGATTGTAGCTGTGACAGCTCATCAATGATATTCTTGGACCCCGTGTTAAAATACTAATAAAATACTTGAATTTAACGTGTTATTCTGAATCGCTTTGGGTTTTAGAATTAGGGCAATTAAACCCTTCTGACAAAACTGTAAAGTTTCGTGAACATTGACTTAAATAGACCAGTGCATTTGTAAATTGAACATGAAAATTTATTTTCTTATTGAATTGAATGAACTGAAGATGGATGAATTTTACAAAGTATTAAAGAAGCATTGAATTTTGTTGTGAAGTTTGCCATTGTCTGGACCTTTTTGTCCATTGTCTGGAGAATGGATTTGATGCTCCTACATATACAGTATGAAAACTATTACCTACTTCATTACTAGTGAACAATAGATATAAAGTATTGGAGACGTAATTAAAATTGAGGAATTAGTTCTATGTTAATAGTGATAGGGAAGCAATAAAGCTTGGCTGGGATCGTTATCAGCTAGAGAGTTGTGATAGCAGAGACTCAGTGTCACTCTCAGCTCGAGCGTACACGCGGTCACGTTCTCTGCTAGTCCCAGGCCTGATTTAACTATTGCATTAACTGCCTTCAATATCTTAACTATTTGAACTTGAGTGCTTGAAGTTCTCAGTTTGTTTGACTTATTTACTTCCTTTTTCTTGTAAACACCAATTTCATGGAAATTCTGATCTGGGTTTGAAAAAGTGAAATGAAAATGTTTACATCTGCTTATACAATCAATAGCGTCTTCTAGCACCTATTCCATAATGTGTGAGTAGATTTCTTGTGTATTAGTTTAACTAGACGTGGATTGAAAGCTGTATTTGCTGATATATTTTTAATTATGGTGAAATTAGCTTCTATTGTATGATATTGACTGGTCTTGAATAGAGTGTTGGTATTCAGGAAATGTTTGACGAAGGACCCTAAAATAATCTTCACTTTTTAAAAAGTATCGAATAAAGTAGATTATGTATGCTATTGTACCTTCCAATAAGTAGAATAACGTTTATTATCTCTCAAGTTCTGTACATGAACCAGAATGGCAATTCAACTGTTGAATGTACGGTACATGTCCTGACACCCGTGACATAACGGTTCTCTGCCCCGTGACAAGCGCAGCCCTCCTCGCCAGCAGCACCAGCAACAGTCCCCTGAGCTAGCCTGGGGGTGAGTTTCTCTTCTTCAAATTTAAACCTAATTTAATTTTGTATTTATAGCGGCAAATGTTGGTTTACAAAGGCATCAAAAGATTTTACAATGAATGATAAGTCGAACCTTGTTGAGAAATATACTCTCTAGAACCTGTGATTGTTACTGATTCTTTTATGATGCCAGTACAAAAGCATCAAAGGATTTTACAATGAATGATAACTCAAACCTTGTTGAGAAATTTACTTCCTAGTACCTGTGATTGTTATTGATTTTCTTATGATGCAGTCTCAGAATTGTTTACATCATTGAATAACGTTCTTCTAGTCGGTCGTAAATGAGAATCATGTTGTGATGCTGCCGCAATGAATCAAGATAATCACTATGTTGTGGTGCTAGCTCTTATATTGCTTACTAATATCAGATGAGTCTAGTTCATTTCCAATGGTAATTATGTCTGTCAATTTAGTTTGTTATCGAAATATGTTAAAACTGATAATGTTTCTGGCTTCGATTTGGCATAAATCGTCAACACTTCACCCAGCACAAATAAATTCTAGGTTATATTGTAAGGTAGTCGTGAACTACGTTCATCTGCATTGTGTTTTATCTTGAAAATTTCAGTATAATAAAATACATTGAACACAAGTATGATGGAATTCAGCCATCTAATAAATGCCACATAGGATCCGATGTCGTGGCTTTCAAAGTTGTTGCCAATATTCTATGAATTATCTCGTGAATAGTTTAATTTCAATGAGTTCCACCCGGATGTAGTTTACTCAATGCTATTTTCATGCGGTATCCTGCATGCATGATTCTCAAGCTCCAATAATCGTATTATTTTAATACCAAATTTGTGTGTTCAGGTCCACTTGGTTACTATAGGTTTTTTCCCATCATATCCTAACATTAATAACTCTTTCATTAAGATTTTATTATATGGCACCTCATAATTTCATTGATTGAAGTCACACCTTTATTTAATCCTGTAACCGCAATTAATAATTACGTTCATTCATTTCATCGAGCCCAATTCAGGTGTGTGAGATCCTTGTATCCAACTCGTTTGTTGTTTTGGTTTTTCATTAATGCTTAGTAATTCACTCATCTGCCCAATAACGTTATTTCATTTGCCGTCTTATACAATTCTAGGTTTAACTTTATTGCGTTCTCAAATTTCCATCTAGGTAGATTGATTGTGATTGATCCACTCTCAGAAAATGTCAGGCTGACCCACTTGAGTCCAAGAAAATAGCCTTGACTCATCAGTCAACTCGATCGATGAGTTACAGCAAGAATAAGTTAGTTTTGAAGACAAACTACATTTCACTATTTTTTGGATAAGCAGGGCCAAGTGAGTCATCCTGACTCGATTATTTCTCTGACTCTGCTCATGCTCTAATTTTCATGAGCAACTAAAACACATTACAGTTTATTTAATGTTAAATTTCATTCACTGATTAACCGAATCATGTAAATTTCTGTCTATTGCTATGCCCACACGAAATATTAGACCACTAACTGCCGGTCGTGGCGCCCGTCGCTCACAGGGCGTCTGGTGAGGGTGACGGAGACAGCAAGTTTAGACGTGAACGCAGTCAAGAACAGCTACTGTGTTCATCCATTGAGTGCGATCCATCACACTCACCCATACTGCCTCGGTCTTCCGCTTATCCTCCATTCCCTCCTTTTCCTGACATTCCTTTTCCACATTTATCTGGTTGTCCTTTAGCGGCTTCTGATTCCCAGTCTACTTCTGTTTCAGTTTATGATTCTGTTTCAACATCTGCGGTTCCATCAACTGCTCCTAAATCAACTTCTGTTGCATCATCTGCTTCTTTTTCACTTGTCTACAACCAAACATCTTCTTCCAAATTGGACGACATAAAAGCCGGTCCTCAAAGTCCTTACGAAAACTTCCACAAGCGGCGAGATTACGCCAGCCAATCAGAAGTTTGTTATTCTCCTAGGATAGGCCCAGTCCCTGTAGGCCCTATAAGCCCGTACGAAAATTTATTGGGACAAGCGCTCTCTCCTGCCACCAGTCCCGTCCAAAGTCCCGATTCTAGTCTAGTTTTGAGCCCAAATTGTGAAGACAATTCGAGCGTTTCCTTAAGCCCTGCTATACTTGCTCTCAACAAGCACCTGGCTGAACTTCAACTCTCTTCTTCATCGCTTCCTTCTTATTTTTGTCACGAGCATTTGCTGACGTCTAAGAACAAAACACAAGCTCATACCTCCCAGTTTTGTGACGCAAGTCTATTGGCAAAGGACGCATCGGAGCCTGCTTCTGCTAACACTAACACAAGGGGTGACAGGTGTGTTTCTCTGCCTTCTAACTTAAACTCTATTAGTTTATTGGATAATTCCAGTCACTAACCTTGAGCTGGTCCATAATTTCGAAGGAAATTTAGCCTGAATGTCGTGAAGATGCATTAATAATATTGTGTTAGAAACCGCCATGTGTAGATGCTTGTTGTCACCGTATCTGAAGAGAATACTAGCGTGGGTTGTGGTATGGAAATGTGTGATTAGTGAGTAAAAAAATTAGGTCGTACGTAAGAGAATGAGCACGACGATGTAATAAACTTTAATCATTCACCGTGCTTACAATTTGGGAACGAGAGGAAATGGAAGAAATATATTCTTTTGGATATATAATTAACAAATTATGAGATTAACTTTAACAATCGTACATGTTTGTGGTGTCTCACAATTTTTAATAACCGAAAAGTGTGTTGACCGTGATGAGTTTGTGCGAAAAATTAAAATTTCTCATGCCACTCAGGGCTGTGATTTCTCCTGTACCCAATAAAATGTGTATTTTGGGGATTATAGAGTATTTTTGTCGAGAGAGTATTTCAACTTTGCGAAAAATTACAATTTTTCAAACCACTCAGGGCTGTGAGTTCTCCTGAAGCGCCACCAAAGCCTCCTCGGTCTCCCCGCATCGAGCGTTCGGTTCTAGGTCGTCGTCACCCTCCTCCTCCGCCCGCCTCTCCACACCTACAAAGTTTGCCCGCCAGAACACCGCCGCCAGTGCCTCCAAATAAACCCAGCCGCAAAGACACGCCTACTGTAACAGCCTTCAATTTCTCTCCGAACTGCAGCAATACAACTTCAGTTATTTCCCCTGCAACACCGTCCACATATTGTCAATATCCTTCCTCTCCCGTTACTCCTAGTTTCGTTCCTGTGTCGTTGAATTCTAGTGGTGAAAACACCGTAAGCTCGGGTGTTTTTGGAGTGCATTCTTCTGGAACGGAGAGTTCCTATTTTACAAAGTCACTTTCTACCTCGTTATCGAAGACTGATGATGTACCGAGTTCTCAAGCATATATAAATTATTGCTCTGAAAGTAATGCTCTAGCTGCGCAAATGTCTGGTCATATGGAACACATCAGTAGTAAAGGCGCTGATGACATGACCACTTCTGATCAGCCTTCCGCCAGTGACGAGTCTTCGTCTAGCCATCTTTATATGAATACAAAATTATCCGAACAAAGTCGATATCAGAATGATTTAACTGATCAACAACAAATATCTGGAAGCCACTCGAGTCCTAACGGTTCATTAAAGTGTCAATCTTTCGCAGCAAAAGAACAGGAATCGCGTGATTGTTCCGGCTTGTCTGCTCGAGGGATGGGATTGAGCGAACCTCAGGACGATTTGGGTTCTTCAGTTCCACCTTCCCCGTCTGTAGGAACGAGCGTCTCATTATCTACCAACACATTCAGCACAAGTGCTTCCTGTACATCCCCGGGAGATGGCGCAAATACAAAAATTTTCTCAACTTTTCCGCCGTCTGCCAACACCAACATAAGTTTTGATTTGGGTCAGAGTTTAGACGCGGATAGCCCCAGTGGCCTGACAAGCTCCGCTGGAGCGCCCTTTTTTACTACCACCTCTGGGGTGACCTCCTTAACTAGCACCTCTGGAATGACCTCCCTGGAGAGTGTGAGCGAGTGCGAGGAACTCCTTCGTGCAGAGCGCAACGAGGCCCTGCAGTACACGACGGACCTCAAGCGTTCCGTCGCCGACCTCGCGCGTCAGGAGGAAGAGGCTTACCGCGAGGTCAGTGCTTTCCTTCGTGGCAGTTCAGGGGCCGGTGTATCGAAACTTACTCAAGTATATTCATGTCAAGTAACACCGGGGGGAAGGGAGATTGAATTTATCTGCGAAACTGACAAATTCACTGCCGTGTAGGCTGATTCTTGAGGGTGGACCCCATAATGAAATTTTTTTGGTAAAATTTCTTTCATGTTTGATAAAGAATTACAAATGGGGTCCTTCCTAGTGTGTGAAGAGCATGCTTTATGTTTGGTGGAAAATGTCTAATAATTTATGCTTGTTTTTGCAGTTGGAGGTGGAGCGAGCTCTGCTGGAGGCGGAATGTGGAGACGTGGAGCGAGAAGTGGAGCGCTTGGAGTCGATTTTATTGCAACTGAATGAGCGCAGTCGCACCATGGAGCTCAGGCATTCAGGAGATCGTGATCAAGACCACCAGGATCTCAGAGTGGGTGTCTGGTTAAGATTTTTATTAAACTTTTGCCCGTATTTATCCATAATTAAGTTCCAAGTTTGTTCACTATTACTCAGAATATAGGTTCAAATTATCTCACTGAGGTTCACAATGAGGTTTTATGTTTGTTCACCACGTCTACGTGAAATATTCAGCACGGTTTAGTTGCGGAATCATGGTTCAGTGTACGGTGCAGCACGACTCAGTGTACGGTGCAGCATGGCTCAGTGTACGGTGCAGCATGGCTCAGTGTACGGTGCAGCATGGCTCAGTGTACGGTGCAGCACGGCTCAGTGTACGGTGCAGCATGGCTCAGTGGTGCAGCACGGCTCAGTGTATGGTGCAGCACGGCTCAGTGTATGGTGCAGCATGGCTCAGTGTACGGTGCAGCATGGCTCAGTGTACGGTGCAGCACGGCTCAGTGTATGGTGCAGCACGGTTCAGTTCCGAGCAGCATGGTGCAGTAAAATACTGTTAATTATATAAAATATTATATAAAATTCATATTATTTTTAGTATCCAATGTGAAGTTTTTCAGATGAATTTAAAATCTCGAGTTATGTTTGATAGTCTGGCGCTGGAGCTGCAAAAATTGCTTCCACAGAATAGGTTTAATAATTTTCAAGTGTTGTCTATTTTTTAGCGCCTTTTCTCATTCATGGAAAAAAGGTGCTATTGTGCTAGCCATGTCCATCCGTCCGTCCGTCCGTGACTTCACATTTTCGTCGACGAGAAAATGCGCTCTCTGTCACTCACTGCAGTGAGTACTGAGTTATATTTTTCGTTTGATTCTCAACAATTAAACATATACGTTGCTGCAGGCTTGCGAGACACGCGTGGAGCGGGCGGAGCGTGTTGTCTATTATTTAATTAAGTGTTGTTTAATTAATTAAGTGTTGTCTATTTTTAATTAATTCTCAACAATTAAACGCACGTTGCTGCAGGCATGCGAGACTCGCGTGGAGCGGGCAGAGCGAGACCTGGAGACGGCGGAGCGGCAGCTCGAGGCGGTCGAGACGGATGACCAGCGAGACACGGACGTCGAGACAGACTTGCTCGAGGCTGTCAAACTCAATCACGAGACCCTCGATGCTTATAAGAAGGTTGGTAGTTTATTTGATTTCTTTAGTATGTCTTGTACTAAGTATTCAGTTGTAATTATTTATTATAGTTTCTATTATTTAGTATTTCTGCAATATTGCAACCATTGCAACGCTTCCTTTATTTACTTATTTAATTGATAGTACGTATATTTTGATTTGTTCACTCAAGTATTAAATACCTTTTCGTATTTAGAGTACTACGAAGTTTGGTAGTTTCTTGAATTTAGGTAGTGGTTTTCTACTTTGTCTACTTATGAAGCGTGTAGTCTACGAGTATAGGTATTGTTGCTAATGTAGAACGCACTTCCGTTATGAAGGTTCGATGCAAGCGACGATTTAATGATTTAACTTTTTCAACTAAGAAAAGAGATTAAATGTATTGCGATCTGTGCTCGAGAACTTGTAAAGCTTACATTGTGTAAATAATATATTACTGTCTTGTTTAATTTGGCCTATTGGTTTACCAAGTTTTCACAACCCTTCATGATTTTCAAATAAGAAATTTTATTTCGTTATCTACTAAAAAAATTGATTTACACTTTAGAGTATCTCATTTACCTTTGAGTGTGATCATTTCAGTGGAGAAAGCAATAGTCTGCCGACATTACTCGTATGGGGGTTGAGAGCTTCACTTACTGATAATATTTCTAGATTTGATGACTGGAAATGAGTAGAACTGACCTCGCTTGAATTACTGAATATAAATCAATAAAGATGTTGTGTTATGCCAGATTAATAGAAATGACAACCTCATCAATTGCGAGCACATTTATCTCTTCACTGGATTGCTAGCCTCATGAAAATATTCTCTGAATAAACCTTGTGATTGTTTACGCTAATTTTTATTGATAAGCTCCTGCAAGGCGGTTGAATTTGAGAGTAAGTGTTGCGTAAGTTTATGTTTCAATAACTCATGCATGCTACGTACAGCACGAGATCACCTGCAACAGCATCTTGTAATAATTATTGTGATGCAATTCTATGCTTTTTATACACATCTGGGCCGCACTTTCAAAACTCGTTCAAGTACATGTAGCGGCCGAAATATACGTAGCGGCCGAAATATACGTAGTGGCTGATTTCTCGTCTGTGATTGGTAGGTTTAGTTTGAATAGTCGTCAGTGATTGGCTGAGGGAGTTACGATGTCGTAGCTTTTTTTTGATAGTACGGCCCTAGTTGTCAGTCCGCTTGCTCGTTAAAAACTTCACGCAGAACGCTTATTTCGTACGATCCTCAACATTTTTTTCATTGATAGTCCAACTCGTGAATTTTAAATAGCAAGCAATGCGTAGAAATTGGTACATAAATAAGGTTTAAACACAATGACACTCTGAAAAATTTCTGCAAACCTTGCATTTTTCTGTATATTTGCGCTTCTCTAATACATGTGTTGCTCACAGCCTGTGTATGCCGCTCCGCCGGTTCTTATTGTGAGTTGCAGATGCTTTGTTTGACGTTGTTTTGGTTATTTAATTTTAGCGCAACTTTAGTGGTTTTTGGAAACTATTTTTTCTCGTGTTTTTGCGAAGCTTGCGCCTGAAATTGCTGACGTCCAGTGCCGTGCAAATAAAGCTTACTCAGCAGCCTGTGTTGTGCATGCTCCGAGTGTTGCTTCATGTCTCATATTTTGTTATATTGTGCGCAGTGCTGAGGATTGTCCGTATTAAGCTCTCAGTGCGTTTCTGTTGCTCGTCAGTGTATGGTTTCTCGCTATGTGGGAAGTGGTCAGTTTCGATCCTGATTTCCTCCATTTCATTTCATTGTATAACTTTTTAAAGATAACGTGCCATTTTCTAATTAGAAAGCAATTTTTCAAAATTGACTTTTCTTTTATTACTCCTAACCAGAGTTCCTGGTTATAATTTTTACATTTGTCACAATATGTGAATAGCTAATAGGTCATAGACTTTTATGTTGTTCTTATTCGAATAAATGCAGTTTTGGCCTTCAGTTGAAAATTCGTTACTAAGCCTGATCGTAATTTACGGATCGGCGTGTTTTTTTCTGTTTTCTTTGTTAAAATTTTATGCTGTAAATTTTTGGATTCGTTGATACATTTTTTGCCGTATTAAACTTCTACTTATGTGAAAAACCGTTTTTTTCTTTTAGATTTTCTTTGTGTTCAAATGATTTTTGCTCGATAGTGTGAAATTTTTAACTTTATTAAACCATGATTAATAAAAAAACGTAATAATTATCACGTTAATGAGTGTCTTTGAGTGCGGCTTTATTTGCATGAATTGGATTGTTGACCGTGGATTGTACATTTTTACGTTGAAACACGGACATCTTTCTTGTTAATTTTATCATGATGATTTCGTGGTGTGACTAGCGTGTGCTGAAGTTAATATTTAAATCAACCAAAGTTGAGGGTTTGCAATGTATTCTACTGTTATGTTCAAACAGGAATATAGCCTGAAATTTTTTTATCTCTTCCATTAACTTTTATAAAGTCTGTATGAAGCAACTTGACTGTGAAGTGATGTTCTCGAATTCGACTTTTATGATTTCGAGTATCGATCTTCAGGGGCAGTTCTAATACTTGATTTATTTATTAAATATTGCATGGGAAGAATATTCTTGAAAGTCTTGGAAGATTTGTATTCTTATCGAGATTTGTTTCATTCCTTAAGGTTCATCAATTAGTTGAGACTTTTCATTTGCTGCTTGCCTTGCAAATTATTTATCCACAACGTCATAGCCATAGTATTTGACATTCGTACGTGCCTGCTATTCTCCACACTCATTGACTAAAGAATTTTATTTTAGGGGCTCCTTGAGATATTTGTAATCGTCTGCTATTTAGGTATTCGTACTTATCTGCTAACTTTTTGCACTCATTGAGTCAAGTCATTTGTATTCTTTTTTTTATATCCTTGAGGTATTCGTAATTGCCTGGTATTTTTCACGTACTCAATTGTATTGTTTCAATGCCACTTCTGGGTATTGGTACGTGCCTGTTAACTTCTTGCACTCATTGAGTCAATTGTATTATTTTTTATATCGCCATTCTGAGGTTGTTGCACTGTTGCTGCTGCATGGTACATGTATATAAACTAAACATTTTCGGAAGTAAGATAGTGATATATGAAGATATAAAGATTTAATAGAAGTTGCGTGTCTTCATAACAGACTTAGATATCTAGTGGTAGAATTTAGTGACTTATAGACCTATAGTATGCCTAGATATAGATTTAGCGACCTATAGTTTGGTGACCTACTCATGCGTACAGGTGTACGAGGACATGGAGTTCAGTCAGATGGAGCGAGAGGCGCAGAGGGAAGCTGAGAGAGAAGACCTCAACCGCCTCGTGAGTATCCGGCCATTTCTCTCTTGTTTAACTCTAATTAATTAACTTCAATTAATTATTTAATTAATTAATTACTTTAATTAACTTCAATTAGCAGCGCTTGCGTGCGGTCATCTGGTGTATTGTTTATTGAATGTTGACGTCTTTTAAGGTTGGTAGGATATGTTGGTGCACTCGTCAATGTGATGTAATATAGTTTCTATAATCATTTTTAGCGCATTTTCTCATTTATGTAAAAAAACCGCTATTGCGCTCGCCACGTCTGTCCGTCCGTGACTTCACGTTTTTGTCAACGAAAAAATGCGCTCTCTGTCACTCACTGCAGTGAGGTACTGAGTCACATTTTTTTAGTTCTATTTCTGGAAGTTTCTCTCAAAGGCTCTCGTCATTTGATTCTTATTGTACATTTTATACGAGCGTTGATGTCTAAAAAGTATTAATAAAATAAGAGAAAATAACTATGTATTTTCACCAATTCTAGATTTCTGTTACTAATTGAAAAACCTATATCAATAATTGGTATATGATATTGTCCTTTGATATCATATTAGCCGTGAAATCTTGTCTCATATTTACTGCCCACAAATATTAAAAGGCGACGAGAAGAGATTTCCTTTACGAGTAACACAAATTCCATCAACCGAATGGGCTCGTTTTCTCCCAAACAAAATACGATGATCCTTTGGCTGTACATCAATGAAATAAAATGGATGCGTTCAACCTATAATACAACGCTTAACTATTTTAGGTGAAATATAATGGTTACGAGCAACCGTTTTATGGCAGAATAAAGTTAATCGAAACAAATTTTTCCGGCAGATGAGCAAGGAGAGATCTCGTCTCACGCAGCAAGAAGATCGTCTAGCGCAGCTTCGCAAGCAGGTACGAATTAAACTTCCGTATACTCCACGTTTGCGTGATATCGAGCATTAAATAGTAATCTAAATTGAATCTTTACCATCAATCATCACTAACTTATTATTATCACTAACTGTTGTTTCATAATTTTTATGTCATGCTTTGACCGTTCAACAAATGTCCGTATTTTAATATGCGTTTCATTGTGACCCAACCACTTTACCGCAGTTCACGGGCGGATTCTAATACTAATTTAAATTGGCACGATATTAATGTTGTAAATTTACTTACAATTAATATATGTATTGATGTGTGAGTTGTGATAGTTTGCAATCCAATTAAAATAAAAGCAGGCAAAACCATTAATGGCATGGCATATTCTCTACAGTCTATGCTGAAGGACTATAATGGCATGTCCAGGTTCATTAACTAGATTTGCTTGTTTCTACGATTTGAATCATTTTAGTTATCAATTATGTATTTTGCATGAATTGAATTAAGTTCCTCGTAAGTAAATCCGCAAATGTTTCTAAAAGCCCACTAGTTTCAACCCACTCAAGTGCATTATTTTAATATCGACTTACGTTGTCAGACGTCATCACTCGGCTTTCTCTTTTGTAAGATGACTGATTGATCAATTTATTCTGCTGATATTACTACCTTAACTTTATAGAAATTTGACCAGCGGGGAGATATTAACTTAAAACTTTATAGAAACTTGACCAACGGGGAGAAGTCAAGTTAAATGAACTCCGCGCTTCGAAAAGTTTAGAACATCTTTGTGGACGATCAGTCAATGAAAACTCGGAGATATCGGCCAGGCTGTGGCAGATAAGATAAATTGCATGACAATAGCGCACACGCAAATTGTTATATTCTTCGACTAAACGCAATTACATGGAATCCGTGACCGAGATCGCACGATTATTGATGATTTACGTACAAATGTTGCTCCACAAGAGAGCTTCATTGCATGTAATCTAATGAATATTTGTATGTGCTTGCTAGTAAATGTTTGCACGAAAGTTGTTTGTGTTTGCAGGTGGAAGCTCTAAACGCGGCAGTGCAACGCGAAACTTCAAAAATCGACGCTCATCGCTCAGAACTGAACGCGCGCTTGCAAACTGTGAGTTACTCTCTGCTTCTGTGTTGACTTGTTCGTTCTGCATACATGGAACCTACACTGCATGTTGTGGAAATATGTTGTGTTTTAGAATTGGAAAAAGGGGCATTGAATTATTTAAGGAAAAGCATCTTATCAGTCGAAAATATTGTTACAGTTCGTACTGTTCAGTATACCTAATGGCCCAGAGAACGGGGCGCTAATGGCTCGAATGTTGCGCCTCTGACTTATAACAGAACTGTGCTCTGCCTATTGTAGTTATTATACGCCTATATATGTACTTATGGGTCATTAAATTTTGCACGACTTGTCACTGAAATGTATATTTTCACTTGAAAAGTGTATTTTACTTAACTAATGTCGTGAACTCTATTTCTGGACTAAAAATCATTACAGCTTCGTGTTTCAGTAATTAAGACTAAGAATTGAACCTGATGTAAATCATCATGAATAATAAAGAAAGGATATTAGAGACAAATAAATCCCCTGTTGCCACACTCGTTCCCTGTTGCCACACTCGTCCCCTGTTGCCACACTCGTCCCCTGTTGCCACACTCGTCCCCTGTTGCCACACTCGTCCCCTGTTGCCACACTCGTCCCCTGTTGACACACTCGTCCCCTGTTGACACACTCGTCCCCTGTTGACACACTCGTCCC